GAAAAGGCATCCTACAAAACAAGGAAAACCATTTCCAAATCCTGTATCTGACAAAGAATTAGTATCCAAAATACACGAAGAACTGATACAATTCAATATAATAAAGAAAAACAATTTGATCTTAAAATGGGCAGAGGACTTGAATAGACATTCTCCCAAGAAGACAGGTACATGAGAAGATTCTCAACATCACTAGTCATCAGGGAAATACAAATCAAACCCACAGAATACCATCTCATAACCACCAGATGGCTATTATCAAAAAGATGAGGAATAAGTGTTGGCGAGGATGTGGAGAAAAGGAAGGAAGCCCTCCCGCACTGTTGTGGATTGGTGCAGCCACGGCGGAAAGCAGTATGGAGGTGCCTCAGAAAATTAAAAATAGAACTACCACATGATCCAGCAATTCCACGCCTGGATATGTAGCCAAAGGAAACAAAACCACAATCTCCAAGAGAAAAATGCACTCCTGTGTTCACTGCAGCATGACTCATAATCCACCAGGTATGGAATCCCCCAAGTGCCCTCCATGCACCCTGAATAAAGAAACTGTGGTACATATATATATCGGAACATTATTCAACCTTAAAAAAGAAGGAAATCCTGCCATTTGAGACAACATAGATGGATGGGCCTTGAGGGCATAATGCTAACTGAAATAAGTCAGAGACAAATACATACTGTATGTTCCCACTGTTAACGTAAAAACATTCAAACCTGTAAAGCATTTTTGTGAGTTTATTTGAGCCAAACTGTCAACAATTGCCGGGAAGCAGAATCTCAAGGGATTGGGATAGTGCTCCGGAGAATGGCGGCTTTTCACCCTGTTTCATACATTACAGTCAAAGGAGGAAGATAGGTGAGTTGCTTGAAATCCATTGGTGAGAGATTAGAGAGGTGGGAGAAAGCAAAAGGGGGCTCTGGGATTGGCTAAAAAGTAAAATGATGGACAAAGGATTCTTTTACTTGAATGGGTACAGGATAGTTAACAGTCAACAATTAACATGATAACAATAACAATGAAGGGATTTGTGTCTCTGTCCTGGCACCCAGGGCATTTGGTTGTGCCCTGAGGGGTCCAGGAAAAAGGGAAGTTACAAGTTACCCTGACATCTCAAGGATGTTATCATAGATGCAAAATGACAACAGGCTCAGTTAAGGTAAAGGTGACCTTGTCAGGGAAGATACCAGCCTAGGAGGTGAGTCCCGCCATAACTGCGTTTAGTTAAAGTTTAATTTCAGACCATCCTTGTGGTTACTTTAGGTCTCTGAGTTTGTAAGGCCGCCATGCAGGCCTCTCCTGAGCTTGTCAGGTCAGCATGTGGCCCCTTTCGCCCACACCACTTATATGTGGAATCCAGAGAACAGATGGGCGGTTGCCAGAGACAGGGTGGGGTGAGCAAAATGGGTGACGGTGGCCAAGCTCCTGTTAAAGATTAATTAGTACTGGAAGGTAAGGCACAGCAGGGTGGCTGCAATGAATAGCACCTGCTGCGTATTTGAAAGTTGCTAAAAGAGTAGATCTTAGTTCTCATCACAAGAAAAAAAATTTGTAACTATGCATGGCGGTGTAGACTTACTGTGTTAATCATTTCACAATATGTACCAATATCAAATCATTATGTTGTATAACTAAAACGGATACAATGTTATACGGCTATTATATCTCAATTTAAAAAGTCTTTCCCTATGCTCAAAGAATTGGCTTCCTACATTTTCTACTTGATCTTTCCGCCCATACTCTGTCTGGAGTAGGCATTTTGTACCTGGTGTGGGTGTTATGGACTGAACAGGGTCCCCTCCCAATCCACATGCAGCCGTAACCACAGAACGTGCCTGTACTTGGACACAAGGCCCTTAAAGAGGTAACTGAGGTGAAATGAGGTCACATGGGCGGGTCCTAATCCAATCGAACGACTGTTCTGATACCAGGAAAGGTGGGCACACACAGGGACATCAGGACGCTCGGCCCAGAGCAACCGCCTGTGAGGAGGCAGCCCTCTGCAGCCGGGCGGGGTCTCAGGGGGAACCAACTGCCTGCACTTGGGTCCTGGCCTTCAGCTGCAGAACCGTGAGAAAATCCGTTTCTGTTGTTTAGGACCCAGTCTGGGGCACTTTGCAATGGACGCCCAGAGAAGTAACACAGTGTAAGGCATAAATTTAATTTTGTAGATAAAAAAGGCCACATGCTAACCTGACTAACTCAGGGAAGACCTGTGTGATGGACTTACAAACTCAAGAGACCTAAAGTAACCACCGAAAATGGTCTGAAATGAAAACATTTAACTAAACAGCAGTTTGTGGTGGGTAGTCATGTCCTAGGCCAGTATCTTCCCTGATAAAGATCAACTTCGATCTTTACTGAGCCTGTTGTCTTTTTGCATCTACGATAACATACCTGAAGAACATCAGGGTAATTTGTAACTTCCCTTTATCCAGACCGCTCAGGGTACAACCAATGGGGCAGGACACCAAGGTTGGAGACCACAAAGTCCCACATTGTTAGTTATCTTGTTAACTAGAGGCCTGGTGCACAAAATTTGTGCATGGGGGAGGGCCTTCCGCCCAGCCTGCACCCTCTCCAATCCGGGACCCCTCGGAGGATGTCCGACTGCTGGTTTAGGCCCGATCTCTGCGGCCTAATAGCTCGCCTGCCTGCCAGCCTGATCGCCCCTAACTGCTCCCCTGCCGTCCTGATTGCCCCTAACTGCACCCCTGCTGGCCTGATTGCCCCTAACCGCCTCTGCCTGCCTGCATGATCTCACCACTAACTGCTCCCCAGCCGGCCTGATCTCGTCCCTAACTGCTTGCTCCCCAGCCGGCCTGATCACCCCTAACTGCCTCTGCCTGGGCCCCACTACCATGGCTTTGTCCAGAAGATGTCCGGTCGATCTGGTCTAGTTAGCATATTACCCTTTTATTAGTACAGATTGTTGGCTGTTAATATTCTGTACCCACTTGTGTAAAAGAATTATGTGTCTATCATTTTACTTTTTATCCAATCTCAGAGGTCCCCCCCTTTGCTTTCTCCTGCCTCCCTAATCTCTCACCATGGATTTCATGTGACCCACTTATGCCTCTTCCTTTGATTGTAATGTGTAAAGCAAGGTGAGAAACCACCATTCTCCTACGTAGCATTTTATAAAGACACTGAGATTCTGCTTCCTGGCAATTGTCCACAGTTTGGCTCAAATAAACTCACAAAAATTCTTTACAGGTTTGAATGTTTTTTACGTGAACGGTTTTTTCAATATGGAAAAACCGGTTGTTTCCAGTGCCATTTACTAACCAGCCCCTCCACCCTGGGCCCCTCCCTCATTTCTCAGCATCCCACACACATGTGGGTGTATGTCCCGGCTCTCTGCCCCTGTGAGAGGACCAAACTCTCCCGACAGCTACAGCTTCATGACCCTCCTGAGGGCTGGGAAAGACAGGCCCCTTCAGTTCTCCTTCCAGTGACCTTGCTGGTTTTGGTCACTTACACTTTCACAGAAAGTTCAAAAATCAGCTTGTCAGCTAAAATAAAAAAATCAGCTTCTCAGGTTCCACTGAAAAATCCCATTGGGACTTTAACTGCATTTGCATCACATCCATAGAACGAAAGAGAATTGGTTTGCAATTAAACATCCGTCTCCGCTGGAAAGTACATTTTCTTTTGTGCTCTATGGACTGCAGTTCCGGTTCTGTCCACATGATGGCACCACCAACCAAAAAATCAAATGTCACAGCCGACCCCATAACACATACACAGGGTCAGTATTGTAGTAAATGCCCAAGGGTTTGGAGGGTAGACCTACATTTCATACGAAACGTTCAACAGCCTGTCCAATTCTTGGTACATTTGGTAAAGATGTATCAAGTAGTATGTGATAATCAAATAAATGAAATAAGGAAAAATATCACAATCTCTTTTTCACAGTCCTTTTACCGTAGGAAACCATAACCAATTATAGATTAAATTCATTACCAAACAAGAGGACAAAGGCACGGTGTGAAATCGGTCTCGAAAGGAAGGCTGCGTTTCCTAAACCAGCGAGCCCAGCACAGGCGGCGAGCAAAGTGCCCCAGGCTGAGGACCTGGTTCCGCCCGGCCCGCCGCTCACGCCCGGGGCTGGGGGAGGTCTTCCCGGGAGACGCCCGAGCGCGCCCGCCGCTCCCACCACCCATTCCCTCCGGTCTGGGGCCCCCTCCTGCTCCACGTCGGGGTGAACAGACAGAAGGTTTAGAAACGTGTCCACAGCATCTGAGATAACAGATGGGCCGCGGGCGGCCTCGGCCTGGGCACCCCCCGGCCGGGAAGGGGCGGTCGCTGGCCGAGCGCGGACCCGGCGGCAGCCTGGCAGACACCTGTGCGCAGTGGCGCCTCCCTCCCCTGGACGCTCCGGACACGGAGAGCGACCTCACCCCCGGCCCCGCGCCCCCGGCTGTGGAGCGGGAACAGCAGGGGGCCCGGGGTTCAGTCGGGCTCTAACCCTGCCCGCCGCCCCGGGGTTCAGAGTGGAACCCGCCGCAGGAGCAGGGACCGGGGTGCCTTGGTGACACCGGGAGCAGGAAGCCCGAGGGGCCCGGGGTGACGCCCTTCCACCGGCGCCGGGCGCGCCCCTTTCCCCCCCCCCGGGAAGCACGTGAGGGCGAACTCCCTGGCAAACCCGAACCCCGGGGGGGAACTTGGCCGTTCACCTGGGGGGGGGGGCCAAGGGGCCAACGGGGGGGGCGGCCCTTTTGGGTTTTAGGAAACGTTCCCCCCAGGGGGGG